AATTTCAGTATTATCCTTTTTTTTCCTAATTTCAGTATTATCCTTTTTTTTTCCTAACTTCAGTATTATCCTTTCTTTTCTTAATTTAGAACTCAGCGTTTTTGGAACCCAACATTGGAGTTCTTTAAATGTTTAAAATTTAAATTTTGAATTTTTCAATTTTTCATTGATTTTTAAATTTTTCTTTCATTTTTAAAAGTTGATTTTGTTTCTCCTCCCAGCATCACTTACAACCTTACCTGACCCAAAAACTCAGTTATATCAAAGGGACGTGCATCAATAACTGAAGGAACAACATTATATAAAGGTTTTTTATTTACACTTTTTAAGCATTTACACAAAGTTGCTGAGGCAGTAAATTCTGTGGGACAATTTAAATGCCTTTATAATTGCATCATAATGTACTTTACCAGCCTTTCTAGTTTATCAAAAGGCCAAGAACAGTCTTTCCAAAGGATTGGTGTTCTTTTAGCAACTCTCAAAAAGGCACAAAAATCAGTCCTAGAGAGCACTGGTTTGTTCTCAAATTGATTTAAAACAGCAGAGACCTTACCTTGAACATTTCTGTTTAATAGAGGCCCTTGGTGGTCCCTTGGGTTTTGTGATTTTTAGTTCAAACTACCGAAAGAAGGGATGAGAAATTAATTAAATTTGGGTTTACAAGGCCAACGTGGCTGCACCCAAACCCCAGAAGCATTTGGAAAACAGTAAAAATACTACAAAAGAGAAAAGGAAGCCTAAATAAACCTCCTGAAGGTCTAACTAAAATTATCTTTTACTGCTGTAAGTTGGGATGGAGCACCTTAATCAGCAGGAAAGAGAGGTTGGAAGGTAACAAAGGGAACTGATATTCCTAAATAATGCTCAGATCCCACAGTTAAGACAGCACAACTTAATTTTTTTTGTGCAGTTAAATTCTCATCTTCACTTTATCTCCTTAACATTTTTAAGATTACTTTCATGTAAAATATGAACATACTTACTTCACATTTTACTGCACCAGAAGAACTGAAAATAATTATTTTTGAAATAAGGCCTTTACAATCGGGAGTAAAACACAATTCCTTAAGGAAATCCTGTGGGAGAAAACACACAAACCAAAGAGATTTAAATCCACAAACACCAGCTGTGCTCTTACACAAATCACAGTTTCTTAATTGGAGGTAATTAAAAAAAAAAAAAAAATGGAATAAAAAAATTCAGGAATTTCTGTGGCACGTCCCTGTTATTCCCAAAGCCCCTCCTCCAACTTCACACGAAAAAAAAATTCAATTTTCAGAATATGTATTTATGCATTTATTACTGTATATGTTGCCTGATTTCCCTTCGTTTCACACAGGCTGCTGATACTGTGGTTTATAAAATTATGTTAAGTATAATATAAATAAAATATAATATCAATAATATAAACTTGATTAAAGATGCCTGTGGCCTGCCAAAGCTCCTACCTTATCATTTTTATCACTGTAGCTTGTTGTTTTCAACTTTTTCCAGCAGCTCATATGAAACTCCACCCTGCACTGCTGACAGCAAATAACACGTATAAAACCCTAACAACGAGAAATGGGACAAATTTAACGTTTTTAAGGAAAAGCATAACAGAAATAAACACCTCAGCTTAACAGCAGGGAACATGGAAGGGGACAGAAACCGTGCAAGCGTGAAGTTTTACTCCTCAAACCCTTTTAAATTCACCTCTGCCCTCAAAATTTACCTTAAAGTCTGGGTCTGTAAAAAATATTTGGATTTTGGAGTGGCCGTGGCACTGCTGATACCGACAGACAGCATCTGGTTCTGGAGGGAACTTGCACTGCTCAATACAATTCCTTAAAGCCATCTGAGAAAAAAAAACACAAAAGGGATGTGAGGCAAACTGCATGGAAATCAGGGAAAACTCAGAGTGTACTTACAGGCTCCTGGGGAATTCTGCAGCCAGACACGAAGCTCCCTCGGAAAAGCAGCTGACTAATACCAGAGGAACAACTCTTTTCTAAGTGGAAAGACATAAAATTGTCCTTTTATGGCCAAAATATTCCCGAGCTTGTTTGAAGTGCTGTCAGCTGAGTACTCATATAAAAAAAAAAATGCAGGTTTATCTTGGCCCCGTGTTTTGCACCCTGAGCAATCCCAACTGCAGGAAGTGTCCCACTGCCAAAAAGAAGAGCCAGATTAACTGAGATAATACGATAAAAAAGGAGTGTCTTGCTCATCTCTGAAGCTTCCCAGAGTATGTCTCACCCGGGATCTGGGTTACAGGATCAAGTACAATCCCAGGGACAGCTCTGTAGAGCCAAGGAGGTCTCTCCCAGAATATTCTCTGAGGGAAAGTCAGATTTATGTGAAGTGGATTTATGTAGTCAGTGCAAGTGCCACAGTGCTAGCATTGAGTCCAGAGTAATAAAACACCATTAAAAACAAACAGACCTCTAGCAAACCCTGCCAGATATTTGCATTATGCTCTCCAGAGGTCCCAGACCACTGTGATCAGATTTCTGAGGGGGGGTCTCTGAGAAATCCTCGGGTCGGTTTTTGTTTAGGAAACAACAGAACTGCTGCTTCCACCCAAAACTAAACAGGTCCAGCCAAGCTCAGACACTGAACAACCTCCAAAGTTCTCCTGGGCCAAAGTGCCTCCCTGCAGGGCAGCTCCTGCCCCTCCTGGTGCCACATCCACAAGGCACAATTTTCAAGTCAAAGGGGGAGTTTTGCCTCAACCAAAAACGACACAGTCAAAGCCCCCTGTCTGGTTTTCAACACGGCCCCACTGCTGCCATTTTCCACTTCACATCTTTGCCAATTCCAATTTTTATCCAGCTCTCTCCGGCACTGTGTTGTGCATTCACAACTTAGAAGTTTGGTGATGTGCAATGAAGGAGTTCATCCATCATCACAGGATCATCGAGGCTGGAAAAGATCTCCAAGACCAGACTCCACCCTGTGCCCCATCCCCACCTTGTCCCCCAGCCCAGAGCACTGAGTGCCACGTCCAGGCCTTCCTTGGACACCTCCAGGGATGGGCACTCCACCACCTCCCTGCCTCTCCACGAGGAAATTCTTCCCTGAAGAAATCAGGAAATACTTGGAGCAGATCAGAACCATATTCCACAGAAATCCCCAAGCACAGAGCCTGACCCAGAGCTCCTGCCCTTATGCTGTTAATGGGATGCTTCCCACATTTCCATTTCACCCCCATCTGTCTTGGATGTGGGCAGTGGGAGGCAGGGAGGAGGAAAAGGAGGAGGAGGAGGAGGAGGTTAAACACACCTGCAAACTCTCTGTCTGAGTCTCCTCGATGACCCGAGTTGTCGCCGGCCACGTCAACACCCCCGGGACAATCTTCAAATCAATCATCAGCTTTGATCTCAGGAACTGATCGAGTGCATGAGCAAATCTGGAGTTGGAAACAGGCACAGAGTGTTCAGATCCTCTGTGAGCAACTTCTACACAGTCTCTGATGATTCATTTTATCATCCGAGCAGCAAACAGCGGCAAGGGAGAGTATGTGGGGTGAGAGAACACCTGGTTCATTAAATTCCCTGTTTAAGGACTCCCTGGGATAAAAGATTCAAGCTGTGAGACAGGTAAAGGGCTCAGCATCCATGAGAGCCTGTGCTGACATTCCAGGGATCCATGAATGTGGGAGTGCTTGGGAATGCAGAGTGAGGACCTGTGTGTGTGTGTGCACAGGAGTGACCTTCAACCCTGCTCAGCCAGGGAGGGGTTCTCCCTGAGTTCAGGCAGTGCAGACATGGGAGCAGCCCTGCCTGGGGGAGGCTGGGTGGCCAGAGGTGTTGTCACCTGTGCAGGCAACTTTTTGGGTCAAAACTGCCAAGGAAAGAAGAGCCACAACCATGGGATTGGGATGCAGACAGCTCCTGGAACACAGACTGCACCCAACAGTGGGAAGCAGGAAACCCCTCTCAGCATCCAACCCACTCTGCCCAGTGCTTTGAGATGTTCCACATGAGGAGGGGTTAAGGTTTAATATCAAAACTTACTTAATTTGGCATTATACTGGCTTTATATGGCAAAGCTGGGCAGGGAGGTGGGGACCATTCCCTGAGGAGAAGCCAGGGCTGCCCCAGATCCAGCTGGATACAACAAATCCACCTCAGGGAAAATCAGAGCCCCTCAGGCAAAGCACCTCAGGGAAAACAGGGATAAGGAAGGACAAAACACACTGCAGGGCTGTGGGGAGTAAGGGGAAAAAAGCTCCCCCATGGCCCATCCCTCTGGGCTGCTCAGGGAAGGAGGAGGGAATGAGGGAGTGAAGTCGGGCCTGGGATAAAGGAGGGGTAGGAGAAAGGTGATTTTAGTAGTTCTACATTTTTTCCCCACCATTCAACTCTATTTTAAGGGACAACAAGTTGTTTTGCCCCACGTTGAGTCTGCTTTGCCTGTGGCTCATTAGCAAGTGATCATCTCCCTGCCTTTATCTCAATCCCGGAGCTTTTCCACCTCCTGCTGAGGAGGGGGAGCGGGAGCAGAGCTGGATGAAGGTCTCTCACCCCACCACAAGCTTTCTGGTGGATTTTGATCGCACAGAGCAGCGGTGAAGCACCAAAAATCACAACCCAAGCTTTACACACAGCAATCGCCACGCGGAGCTGCACCACGACAGCTGGGATTCCCGGTTTGGGGATGCTGGGAAGAAACCCCACCAGGAATACGTGGGTTGAAGCAGCTCTCGAGTTTGTTACTGTCCCTGTTTCTGCACCTCACACTCCCCCTCACCTCCCTCTGGTGTTTTGGCTCAGGAAAACAGGAAAACATCCCTGTTATCTGTGCCAGGGAATGCGGTGACTCACTGGGGCAGCCCCTTATCTCAGCCCAAGGTCACTCTCCGGCCTCCCCAGGCCTCAGATAAGTTAAGATTTCTTTACACTACATTTTTTTCCACAAGAACACAAAGGTTTTTGTTCTTCTCCCACAGAGTTCTCCCCTCCCACCACCACCACTGCAGGGATGAGCTGGTCAGTCCTATCCCTGTTCCCTCAAATCCGCTGAATTATTCTGCAGCTTCCTTGAGTTCCTCAGCAGGAACAAACTCCAAGTTGTAATAAACCAAACTCCAAATTGTAATAAATCATCCTGATGGATGAATTCAGTGATTGACACTAAATCAGCCTGATGGAGGAATTCACTGATTGACACAGAATAATTAAAACCCCACCACGCCTCGTTCCTCAAAGGAAAGGATTTTTTTTTCTCCTACCAAATCTTGAAGTTTTCCATCACACCAACCTGTTTTGCCTGAGGTAAACCCTCCCAATTCCATAGTGTGCCAAACAAAAGCATCTTTCTTCTGGGTATTCTTCAATTATTTTCTTAAACTGGTCTTCAGCTTTTGCCAATGCCTTCAAAAGAAATGTAAGACACAAATAAACGGTGCTTTTCCATAAGTTTTCCACTTTTCCTCTCTTTTTTTTTTTTCCCCATTACAGTGGGTCAGGGTGCCCTATTCTTTGATTAGTCTTATGAACAGTAAATGGAATTACACAATCTTATGATCACAGAAAAAGCTTCCCCTTTTTTAAAAAAAAAAAGAAACTTATTCTGTAAACACAGACCCCCTCTGAAAGAATGAAATTAAATGGCTTTTAAATTGGTTTTTAAATTCATTTTAAGACACTGAATATTATAAAACACTGCAGGAAGAAAACCCCAAACCAACTTGAAAACAAAACAAAACAAAACAAAACAACAAACCAAAACAAATCCAGAGTTTGCCTTTGGTTCTGGAAAACAGCAAAGTATTTTGGTGTTCTCCAGAACAAAAAAAGCAAACTCTGCCTCCTGTTTTAGGAGCTGAATGTTTGACTTAAAAACACTGGTGCAGATCCACATTGCAAAGTAGAAGAAAAAAAACAATTTTAATAGTCATATATGAATTATATATATATTATAATAATATATAACAATATAATGTAATTATATATATATTATATGTAATAATATGTATATATATAATGTAATATATATATAATAATTACTTTCTTAACACCAGAATCTCATTTGAAAGCTTAAAAAAAGACATTTTATTTGGTAGCTTAATTTATCCAAAGTCATTAAGGATCTGGTCCCAGTATACAATTCCAAATTGTGTCACCAGGTTTCCTTCCCCACCCATTTTCTGTCTCTTAGGAAGAGATAAAAATGGATGGGCAGCTGCCTGAGCTAGAGGTCGAAATAAAAGCACTATTTCAATATAAAATAGATAAAACCAGGCGTCGTGTCCTACCTCAGGTTGTCCTATTCCCAGGAGGGCAGTGGCATGTCCATAGATGATTATGGTATAATTAATTTTATGAATATTCAGACACTGCAAAAAAAAAAAAAAAAAAAAAAAAAGTCAAATTATAGTGGCAGCACAAACAAAAACGTTGTGCAAACTGTTATATATTAATTTAAAGAAATCCAGGATGACAATTGGGTCACTATCTGATTGGATATAGATACACAGACACCAAATTTCACAGTATTTGCCATCAAAGAGTTATCCAACTTGAAGAATAAAAATCACTTTCACCCTACATCATTAAGGATAAAGGTTAATCTGACAATCACAGAATTATTTAGGCTGGAAAAGACCTTTAAGATCATCAAGTCCAACCACCAACAGACTGTGGTTTTTTATAAAACGAGAGTATTTGGTCAATGTACTTTATGATACTCTAAAAACAAATACAATTTTGGTAAGTATTTTTTACATTGCATCTAGAAATGCACACTTATGTTGAACATTATCAAAAACACATCCTATGTAATTACTGGGGGGTCTACTCAATAATAAAGACAATTTTGAGGGAAGGAAAGAATGAAGCAGGGTGTTGAATATCTAAACTTACTTAAAATAATTACTCTAAATAAAATTACTCTAAAAAAACCAAGTTATTCCTCTGAGTTTACCCTAAATTCTGAAGTATACAGAATGCTGAGCAGCTGTGAGAAGGCTTGTTCTGCACTGTGACACTGCTGGTCCATCAGGGCTGTGCAACCATCACGAGCAAGGGATGTAACACCTTCTGGCAAGGCATTAAAATCCACCTGGAATACCTGGGGAGACAGTAAATCCACAAGAAAACCACGTTTTCCATTTTTTTTTAAACTTTTTAAAAGCACATTACGTCAGTAAATATTTTCAGGTCGTGTTTAGAAATGCACATTTAGGCTGAAGATCACCAAAAATACACCCTGTGCTACTCTGTTTTCATTTTAATTCTGTTTTCATTTTAATTCTGTTTTCATTTTAATTCTGTTTTCATCTTAATACTGTTTTCATTTTAATTTTCTTTTCATTTTAATTCTGTTTTCATCTAATTCTGTTCTCATTTTAATTCTATTCTCATTTCTCAGCTCCTTGGCACAATCATCAGTGAAACACTTGGCCCTGCAGCCAACAACTCGACAACAAACACTATTTTGGTGGGGAGAAGAGAGGGGAAACGGGCTGCTGAATGCACAAATTCGAATTATTCTGGTCAATTATTATCATTTCTCCCAGTTTACCTCACGTTCTGCAGCACCTAAAGCTCTCAACGTGGGTAGAAGGATGGGTTTATCACTGGGACACTCCTCCAGGGAGGCTGTAAATCCCTTGTTCCTGGGGTTTTTTACATCTTCTGTATTGAAATCCATCTGGAATATTTAGGAAGGCAGTAAGTCCAAAGGAAAACAGTATTTCCCTTGTTTTTTTTTCTTTTGTCAAAGCAAGCAATTTGCTAAAATACTTATCCAAGAGACAACTGGAAATTCTCCACTTCCTACAGTTTTACCACAATTCCACTGTTAGAGCACTGCTTTTACAAAATATTTAATTTTACTTCTAAAATCTCTAGATTTCCACGGACCTACTGCTGCTAATCCCATTAAAAAAAAAAAAAAACAGTTTTTCTTCTAAGTTTAGATCCTTTTCTCTCCACAAAGCTTCAAGTTCAGTTCAAGCACCGTTTTAATTTTGCTTACACGTTAAAAGAACCCCAAAACCACAACCCAGACTTCTGCTTTTTCCTCACTTTTACACTCCATTTTGTGCACAAACGTCTTTGGAAAACCTGAGAACTGTTTCCTTCTGCTACACTTTCTGTCCAGCTCAGTTAATCTGTTCATTGCTAGAAGGTTTCAGAGTGATTTTGTTATTTTGTTTTCACTATTGATATTTCCTGGAGTCTGCAGGGATTTCCAGCAGGGACACTAAATAATTAACACTTATTTTTAATTTCCTAGAACTACTGAGTTAATGCTGTTAAGAGCATGCAGTCATAAAACAGGACAAATTATATTAATTTGATGTTAAGCTACACCACATTAGAAGCTGATTAAGCCAATTAAAACGCTCCTTTTGATACTTGTAATGCACTGGCAAAACAAAAATAGGTATTTTGAAGGAAATAAAAGGTCTTAGTGCAGGCAGAACTTGAACCTTCTCCTGAATTCAGTTTTGTCTTGTGAGGTAATTAATCAGAGTAGAGATTTTTGGTGTCTACACCCCCAAAACTAACAGATATCAAATGATTAATTATGTGCATTCCCACGATTTCCTTCCAATAATTTTGGCAGCTGGTAGGACCAGAGGAGGAAAATTCTCACTCAAAATATGAATTGCACCGTGTTTCAAACAGCCACCCAACAAAATGTTCCCTGATTATTTCCAAACATATTTATCAAACACAAGAAAACCTGTTTTCAGTCAGAGCTTTGGGAGGGGTATCATAAATCCCTGAGCCATTCCCAGTCATTTTTGTCCTTTTTCTTACAAATTAACATACAGGGGAGTTGTAAACTCGTGGTTTTAGCTTAGCTAGTCTACGACTAGACTGAGTTTTGTTACACTGATTACAGGAGGAGAAGCAACAAGACAGCAATAAATCAGTGTAACCACAGAATTTTTGCCTCCTGATCAAAGTCATGCTCAGCACAAAGTCTTAAATTTAGGAATAAACCGAGATTTTTCACAGTGTTACTAAAAGGCACCAAATAATTCACATTTAAGGCCATATCCCACTGAATTTTCAGTTACCTGTGGCACAGCACAGAGGCCTTTATCTTCCATGGCTTTAGACTCTCTCTTCAACTCAAGGTGATCCCTACAAAAAACAGGACAATGGAATCAAGAGTTTATAAACATCCTTTAAATATAAACTTATTATCAAGCAACAGCGTGATTTTTACAGGTCTGCTCATCTTCCCCAAGAGAGAAGTAATTTTGGAGATGGTTCAGCTGCTTTAAGAAGGATTTGTTCCAAAATAAATTATAACATTTCCCCCCCCTTCAAGTGAAAGGAGAAATCCAGTTCAGTGAAATAAAAATGACAAAGTGACAAAGTTTCCATTGTCCTGGCTAAAGGGGCATTCCAAAAGTTATGGGAAAACAACAGGATTGTACTGTAATAAACACAGATTAAAAAGCAGCTGAATTTGTGGTCACACTTAAGATTAAGATTGGGAATAATCAGGTTCAGCTCCAACCTTTCCTAAAGGCTTGGACTCTTCCACCTGCGAAATCTGCCTTGAAAAATTACCATTTAATGGAAATTTTCCTATTTCAAAGTAAACACCTTGTTCTGCTGTACCCCCAAGTGTTTATAACCACCCTAAACACAACCAAAAACCTCCAGCTGGAGAAGCAGAAAAGAAGAAAGTGCAGTCACAGCTCCCCCTTGGCCCCAGTATCACTGGAAATATGGATTTCTTTTGCCAAAACTCCTGTTTTAAATCTCCTAACAGGTGGAAGCATAAATTTTACCCACAAAAATCTATAGTGCTTCTTATCTCAACTAATTTAATTTTGGCCCTAAACCATCAAACACACTCATTTACATTCAGCATGTCCTACAAGGGGTATTTATGTGCTTGAAATTAGATATTGATTTAAGGGAAATTATTGAATTAAGTGAAAAATTCAAGTTGCAAACAACTTAAAGACTAAGTAAAAGTCATTCATTGACTAAAATTCAACTCAGCTAGGGAATATATTTAATTTTCAAGTTATAACTCCGGTTCTTTGTGAAAACTGGAATTTTGGGAACTTCACCCAGATACCAGTATGTAAAAAAAACACAGAAAAAGCAGCAAGTCCAAGGGACATTAAGTCCTTTCTAAGTGCTACATAAAATAACTCAAAGTAATCAAAAATTTCAAAATAAATAGTATTTTTTTACCTCATTTTTTCAGAGTCACCAGGTTTGGGTTTTTGCTTTCGTTTGTTTTGATGACTTTGGTCTGTAACGAGAAAAAAGGATTTTAAACAAGATGATCATCACTTGAAATATATAAAAAAAAAAAGCACTTGGAACTCACATTTTCCTTTATAAACAGATGTTAAAAATTTACAATATCGAAAACTGAGACAACCAACAAGTTTTTCAAAAAGCCACCCCTGAGTATTATCCTATGAATCTGATATTTTTGTTAAATAGTGTAGGATTTTATTAATCCCATAAAGGGGAAAGATATTTCAAACAAACAGAAGAATCTTAAAGTTCTGCAAGATCTGATCTGACTGCACAATATTATATTATAAGTATTAAACTCCAGGCTAAAGAAATCAGCCTGTTCTACAGAACTAGAGTTGATATTAGTCCTTATTAGTCAGAAATCAAAATTTTCGCAGGGAATAACAGATCCCTGGTGGAAGTTCAAGTTCCACCGGGGGAATTCTGCAGGAAGAAGTTTGCAACTTCAAAACTCCAGAGCTGAAGTCAAGTCCAACCCCTGCCAATCTCAGGAATGCAAATATATGGAAATACATTTGGAAATCCTGGATCCCAAGGACAAGAAAGGGGCGATCTCGTGATGCAGCTCCATTTCCAACCCTGGAACTTCACATCCAAGACCTGACACCGAATTTACACAAGACTTGAAACCGAATTTACACTTCACAGCTTCGGGGATTCAACGCTGTCACTGAACAGCTCCTGAGCAAACAGTTCCTGAGCAACAAGGTAGAAAACAGGGCTTAATTCTTTATTGTGATGGTCACACCCAGGAAGCCACACCAGCAACTGCAAAATCCTCTCTCCACTCTTTCCCACGGAATTCAAACCCCACACCTCAGGCACTGAATGTGCTCCTGATTGAGTCAAGAAGGTTTTTCATTTTCAACAACTTTTTAAGTCCCAACAGTGAGAAAACACGCACATATATTCCTCATATTGGACACAGCCACACAGACAGCAGTCTGGACTGAAGCTTTTCAAGCCCTGGAACCCAAAAATGAGGTGCAGCTCTGATTCAAAAGAAACCTTTGAACAATCTGAAAAGCACTTTTATTACAATAATGTAATTATTGTAATAATTACAATGCAAAAGGGAATGCAAAAGGGGCAGATGTTTTCCCCCAGTGCACTCCACCGAGCAAAGGAATACCACAGCTTTTTATACAGCTTGAAAGTAGCAAGTTTAAAATTATCTGTACACACGCTCTTTTTGCAGTCTGCCTTATCTAAATAGACACTGAGTTTTACCTCCTATTCTTACCATTATGGGGTTTTATCATTTCAAGCAGTTTTAGGTTCCCCACCCCTCTCTACGTGCTAAAAAAGCCTTCCCTGTTCCCTGAGCTATTTTTATCTTAATTTGCCCACAGTTTGGGCAGAAACTTTTAAGCAGTTTTACATTTTGCAAAGTCACACTTAACGTAGCTAAATTAACACAGCTAAATTTTATTTCATTTTAATTTCGATTTCATATATTCCTCATATTGGACCCAGCCACACAGATACCAGTCTGGATTGAAGCTTTTCAAGCCCTGGAACCCAAAAAGGAGGTGCAGCTCCCTAAACCCTTAAATCTTGCTTGATTCATTATTAGGCTTCTGCCGAACTACCAGAAACTCCAACGTGAAAAAAGGAGTTATTAATTTTACACATGAAGTTTTAGCGACCGTCTACGCTTCAAAAAAAAATGCTTATTTTATGATCCTCAGAGAAGTATTTTATACCATTAGGTGCAAAATCCTGGAAGACACCGTGGAAAAGCACAAATCCACCCATTTGAGGGACCTCCCTCCAGCCAGAGGGATGTCTCACACAACCATTCCTCAAGTTAAATCAAATGTATGCACACTTAAATACCTCGTGCCAGTAGTCATTGCTCATTAAAAACAACTTAATGACATAAAATTTCAATGAATCAGAGCAAAACTCGAGGCTCACAAAGACTGAACATGTCCAGACTTAAGTCTGTGAACCGTTTCTCCAAGAGGTGTCTGTTGAAACAGTTCAGACACACTAAAACTCCAAAGCTACACTAATAATCACCAGAAATTCCTCATAATAGAGATATTTAAAAGATGGAAAACAATAATCCTTTTGCAAGCCAGGAAACACTTCCAGCATATCATCATTTAACCATTCAGAGATAGAGATTTATCACTTTTTTCTTCATTATACATAAGGAACCAATCTATCATTCACAACAAAATCTTCGTGGAGGTAAAAGAAACCATCTCACCATCAAAAGAAGAAATTAATCAACCCTATTTTTTCCTTGAATGGTCTGATTTTAAATGCCATTCAGCTAAAATTATTTCAGAAACATTTCCCACAGAAACAACTCTTCCCACAGACCACCCAACTTAAATCCTACTTTAAGTGAAAAACTTCTAAATAAAAGGTAACAAGCAAATCCTGATGACTTACAGCTAAAACACTTAAGGAGATATATCAATTCAACAGCAAACATGATTTACTTACCCCATAAACATTTAAAAATATTAGTTGTATTACTTTCACTAGAACTTTCCATTAGGAGGGACCAGAGATACTTGACAAAAATATACACATGCTCAAAAAGACACGTCATGAAGACAGAAAGTACCAAATAAACTGAAAAATGAGTTAAAAAAAGCAGTAACTTTAAAACAGGATAATGTGACATTAAGTTCCCTTCCATTAAAACTCCTGCAAGTGAACTCCTTTAAGTGAACAAAGGCAAAGAAAAAAAAAAAAAGTTGTTCCTTCCCACCCGCAGCAGACTGGGATCAGCCAGTCCCTGGGAGCCTGACTCCTCCCTTCAAATCAAGTGTTTTGTTCCCCATAACGACGGGGAGGAGAAAGGAAAAACAGAAAATGAAAATAAAGCAATGAAAGTAAAAAAAAAAAAAAAAGAAAACCAAACACGGAACGCGCAGGAGTTTGATGAAATCACTACACTGAACGCATCTCACAGACCTCTGATCTCTTCTTGAGCCAGGAGTTGTCGGTTCTCTCCCAACATCCTGCCTTTTATGATCCCTCTTCCCTCCCCAGTTCCTCCAAAATCCAGCCATCCCTTCTGCCACGCTGCCCCTCCTCCAGCCTCTCTGGGCGACCTGTTCTGGGGCATCACCATCCACACAGGGAAGAATTTATTCCTAATATCCAACCCAACCCTGCCCTGCTCCAGCTCGAGGCCAATCCCCCCCTGTCCCACCACTACCTGCTGTCAGAGACTGGAACGGTTCCTGATTTATGCATCCTAGGATTGCCAAGGGACTTTTGCAGGCTTCTGCAGGGCTTCTGCATTAGACCTCTGATGGCCCATCGAAGCCCATCCCTGCCTCTCTGATAATCCTGAAAGGTGGGAAAAACCCTTTTGCCAGACTCCTCAGGGAAAATCAACCCAGACCCAGGAGATCATAGAATCATGGAATCAGCTGGGTTGGAAGGGACCTCCGAGATCATCCAGTCCAACCCTTGATCCAACCCCGCCGTGGTTCCCAGCCCATGGCACTGATGCCACATCCAGTCTGTCCTTAAACACCTCCAGGGACGGAGAATCCACCCCTTCCCTGGGCAGCCCATTCCAATGGCTGAGCACCCTCTCTGCAAAGAAATTCTTCCTAATATCCAACCTAACCCTCCCCTGGCACAGCTGCAGACCCAGCCCTCTTGTCTTGCTGATGGTTGCCTGGGGAAAGAGACCAACCCCCCCTGGCTCCCCCCTCCTGTCAGGGAGTTGCAGAGAGTGAGGAGGTCTCCCCTGAGCCTCCTCTTCTCCAGGCTGAGCCCCCCCAGCTCCCTCAGCCTCTCCTCACAGCACTTGTGCTCCAGTCCCTTCCCCAGCCTCGTTGCTCTCCTCTGGACCTGCTCCAGCCCCTCCATGTCCTTCCTGAGCTGAGGGGCCCAGAACTGGACACAGATCTGACACAGATGGAGGCTCATGGCATGGCCTGGGACACTGTCCATGGATATAATAACTCATAACTTCTTGGAGTGTGGGGGCTTCCCTCCTTCACCCTCAATGGATCAAGGCCACCACTTCAACTGACAGACATGGAAGCTGCAACTACCAAGTTCCATCGCTGAACCCCGTGGGCAGTGCCTACAGACATCTTTCCACCCTCAGCTTTTCTTTCCCTTACCCTTATCCTGTCTTTCCTTTCTCCTCTTATGCATTTTCCCCCCCAGGGGATTATCCCTATGATAGATAATACAGATGACAACACTCAAAATGCTAACATACCCGTTAAAACAAAATTGCTAAAATAAACCCTACCTATGTATGTTTTCAGACACCAATTATTCCGTGTCGTTTCACTCTAATCCACCCCAAGGGAATTATTGATAAGAACCTGGGTTACCCCCCTCCCCTTTTTCTGGGGTGGGTCATAACATTTTTGGCATCATGGACAGGATCCTTTGGATGTGGTGGAGTAATTGGTGTAGTCCAAAACTGATACTGAGGGCGAGTCAAATGGTGACTGTCCCCTCGTTGTAAAATTATAGCGAGAATTTTTCTCCTCTCAGTGTGACCCGGGCACATCAGACCTGCTGAAAGGTTTCCTGGTGTAGGCTGGACCTGTTGAAAGGTTTCCTGGTGTAGGCTGGACCTGTTGAAAGGTTCTCTGGTACCTGGGCCTGTTGAAAGGTTTTCCAGGGGAGAGTCAAGCTGGCCCTCAGAGGGTTAAGGGGGAGAAAGACATTAACCTGGGTTAGTGACTGAGTCAAAAGGAATGACACCCCAGGGTGAGTTATGTGGGGATTATTCCCTCCTGCTGTCTGTCCTTGGTTTAGGACTACTTTTTGTAGGTGCTGTTTTAGGCGTTGTCCTTAGAACAGTGTGAAAGGAAAGACTGGCTATTCAGAAATCTGTAAGTGAGGTGATAAGATCTTTCTAAGACTCAATGAGAGCTTTGCAGGACCAGCTAGAAAAAGAGGCTATTCAGAAATCTACAGGTGAAGTGATAAGACCTCTTCAAGAGTCAATGAAGGCATTACAGGAGCAATTAGAAAAAGAACACTTGCAGTTTAACTGCTGAGCGTGAGGCAGTTGGGGGGAGAGGGAAATTAATTTGTTATTTCGATCAGTCCTGCAAGATGAGGAAGAAAAAAAATAAAAGGCTTAAAAAGGCACTAGAAATGAAAAATTGTGAACTTCGGGACATCAATTTAAAATATCCTAGACCGGTGGATGATAACAAATCCCTGTACCCCTCCGGGGAACTGGAAGAGCTTAAGCAAAGTTATCCAGAGGATAACCAAGCCCTGTGGTCCCTGACCCAAAGAGCTGCCTACTGGGCAGGAGGAGGGTTAGACCCCAGAGAAAGGGGAGATCCTCACACGATTAAAACACCCACAACTGGCCACATTGTAAAAAGTGTACAAAAAACCACACATCTCCAATTAACGCACACAAAATTATTAGACCCACAACGAAATTCCCCAGTGGAACACGAGGCGGATCCACAGAGATTTCCAGTCTTAATCCAAGGCCTGCCTGATGCACTAAAAGTTTATGCTAAAGGCAACCCCCAGACCTAGAAGAAGGGGTGCTCCACCAGGGATAACCTGGTTGGAGATAGCCCAAGAATTAACAGCTGCTGGTCAAGCAGCTGGGGCTCTCTGGTACAAGTGGCCAGAGAACACACAGCAGGAGGGCAGGGAAGGTCCAAAAACCTGCCTCACCAGGTATTTGTCAACAAAATATGTCATCTAGCCCTGCCTTTATGGAAAGTCCCTCTCCAGCTTTCTGTTAAGCCCCTTTTAGGCACTGGAAGGGGTCTTTAAGGTCTCCCCGGAGCCTTCTCTTCTCCAGGCTGAAAATTTTAATTATTAGCTAGCTTTCATTGATTTAATAAAAAATAGCAGTTAGAACCATTTATAGTGTGTAGCAGATAGCTCTGATTCAAGTCCTTTAGTCTAACCATCATCACCATCAACTGAAATACAGGATTTATATTAATCATACAAATATATCTGGTTTGCCATCCTTAATCCTGAGGGACAAAGTTGTATAAAGGACCAATTACACCTCTATAAACCCTGAGACATAAACTATTGTCCAGGTCTGTCACTAAGGCTGGATCCAACTGCCCCCAGACTCCTCCTGGAGAAGGAATTTAGAAAAGCAAGGGGGGTTCTCCCAAACCTCCATATTGCTGGCAGAGCCAAGGGGATGCACAGATCTCTCTCTTACCACATTCCAAAGGCATTGGCATGATCTGGTCTTGCTGCCAGGTGAGCAGAACTCCAAATGTCCCTGGAGTTCCCTGGAGCCAGGGAATCCCTTATAATCCCGTGGTTATCACTGACTGGGTGGGTCCCGCCACAGGCGCTTTGCTGCTCATCTCTTCCACTGCCTCAACAAACCTCTGTTTTATAACACATTCTCAGGTTCCATCAGCATTCAGACCACACCTTCTTGCTCAGCAAAATGCCTGGATTCACTTGTCACTTCCTTCAAACTCCCCCCAAAATTCCCCTGTGCCATCTCGCGTTTGGTGCCACGAGTAGTTCCCCAAAACAGGTTTGTCTTCCAGAGCTTGACTTCCCCTTTCTAAGAACCTTCCCCAATTTAAGCTTTTTGCATCAAATTCCTTTAACACTTCCATGGTTTCTTCGTAGAGCCACAGAATCACAGAGTGGTTTGGTTTGGAAGGAACATTTAATATCACCCAGTGCCACCCCCTGCCATGGGCAGGGACACCTTCCACTAGCCCAGGATGCTCCAAGCCCAGTCCAGTCTGGCCTTGGACACTTCCAGGGGATCCAGGGGCAGCCAAAGCCCACAAGAGCAAGATCACTTCTCCTACTGCTCGTTTTAAATATTATATTTTGTAATGGATCTTCGATGGTTTCCTAAAAAATCAAATTTTCAAGTGCTCTGCGTTTTGGCACCTCTTCAGGTGCGAATTTCAGTTTGCCAAGCCCAAAGAACAGCACAGGCAGGCACCAAAGACTTCAGAGCAGGTGATAAAAACCTTTTATTTCCTAACTAAAAATTTAGGAAAAGATTTCACTTTGAAGCTCAGAACCTCTTGCACTTCACTTTCACTCCAGAAAAGTGAAACTCTGGCACTGTGGGAGTTTTGGGGGGTTGGAATTCTCTCCATAAAATGATTTATTCATGGAAAAAACCCCAAACATAAACGATAAATCACACCAACTTTAACTCTGCAGCTAAAAATCCGCTCTGACAAATATTTTCCCCCTCCAACTGCAGACTTGTTTTCTCATGGATCTACACAGAGCTTTAGCCATCGCAAACGAATTGTAAATATTGAAACTACCCACACACTCCTCTTAAATTTAGATCCCTTCAGATCCCAAACCTGCCTCAGGAGGAGGGAAAGCATTCCTAGCCCGTGACTCAGTTTTCACTTTTTAGTTCCAGTTTCGATTTTGAATTCAGCCACATCAAGGAGATTCAAACTACAAAAGCACGAGGGAATTAGGACAGAAATACAGAAGAGAAGAAGGATCTGAGTAACAGGAAAAGACGTGAAACACGATCTCTTCCTGTTGTGAAAATAACATCAGATGCTCTTTGGAGTAGTAGTTATGGCAATAGCAGAGGAAGAAACGACTCAGACTTGACAAATAATAAAAATAAACTCACTTTGTGGCAACTCCAGCGTGGAAACTTTGCTTTCTGGTCTTTGGGTGTCAGTCATCTAATGGCAAATACATCAGAGAACAAAACCCAAATCAGTCTCACTCACTGAATTTAAACAAAGGGAAAAAAACCTCAACAACCAGCATTTAAGCAGAGAAATCCCAATGATAAAGTGCTATATTATGTCCCCAACCAAGAGGTAAAAGAAAAATCGTTTCATTAATCAAAGTGCAGTTGTACAGTTTAGATTTTCCCCCCTCCAAATCTGTATCAATTTATATTATCTACCAGCCTGACAAACACCAGCCTTTCTCACAGAAATGCTCATCCTGAAGGAAGACAAGTTTACAGACCTACATCACAAAGGTCTTCATGGCATGAAAGCAGATGAAAGTTCTTGTGAGGCAATTAAAAAAAAAAAAAAATAAAAATCCTAAAAGCACTTTAAGCCCTTCTGGTGCTTTCTGCAGCTTGTTTTCTCTGCCAACAGGCTCCAGCTTTCATTTCCTGCCCTTTGCCCTCCCACTTGGGTTTCGTTTTCCCCACTCCCACGTCATCAAGTCCCTGCCCACTTCTCCTGGAAAAAAAACCCAGAGGGTTTTTTCACGTGTGTGTGTGTTGAATTGTTTGGGCCTTGCTATTAATCCACATTATTTATCACCGTTTTCTACATTAGGTGGCTTATTTTTAATGACCCGCTTCGTAGGCTCAATTATGACAATTTATTATCTTAAAAATAATCAGAAAGAGTACAAATGTCTCTTTAAATTAACAATTAGTGTAAAAGATAGGACATCTTCAGCAACCATCTCCTTGAAACCCCAAGTTCTGAGCACAGACCTGGCAGTCAAATGTCACAGGGAAAGTGCACAATTGTTAAAAAACTCAGAGCCTGCAGAATTCCAGCCACAGCACTGAGTAACACGTTCCAGGCTGGTGGAAAAAAAAAAAAATCAAGGCACTGTTAATTCTGTAATTCCAGCATAACTCACCTTGGGATCGTGTTTTTGAGGACCTTTAGGATCAGCCTGAGTTCTCTTTCTGATCTTTTCTAATTCTTTTTGTTCCTGAGAGGTTACTCTGTGAGATTTTGAAGAACTGCAGTCTCTGATACATAAAAAGAGAGAACTCTTATTCCTATTCTGCCATACATGTAACATAAAAAAAAGGGAGTAATACAATGAGTCTGCCCCTCACAGAAGTGTAACTCTATAAGCATACTTAAAAGATTTGATATTTTGATTTGATATTTGATTTTTTTATACCTTCAAATTGCACAGCCTGAAGCTGTGCAAAAATACAGCAACAGCAACAACAAAAAAAGTAGTTTTCTACAAAAGGGACAGGAATTGAATTACAATTATATATTTTTAAAAACTAAATAATTAATAATGCTGATTAATAACCACCTGCTGCTTTGGGTGCAGCCCAAGATAGTTTATTTAGTTCCTAGGAGCCCTCTATCAGGTTTATTAGGTAAATGGTTGCAGCTGTTATAAATTTAATCCTTCCATTTTTATTTATTGAGAGATATCACAGATATTGCCTACATTTTGTTATGCATTACTTAAATGATATCAAGCATTGAGCATTATTACTTTTATTACTTATTATTTTATATTTTATTCTAGTGTAATATTATTACAGTATAGCATATTTTATTATAGTATAGTATAATAGTACTTATTATATATAAAATATAATATATTTTATTAAATATATAAAAATATTTTATATTTTAGTATAGTATTATATTACAGTATTATAGTATATTATTAATATTGTTTATAATACTAATAATATTTATAATATTAATCAATATAGTGTATTATTAATGATGTTATTAATATTAATTATATCAATACTATATTGAGCAATATTATTAATCAATATTATATTGCTGATTAAAAAAGGTAAAACATGACAACTGCTCACTTTTTCTCAAGCAGAGACTTCTTTGCCTTCTGTTTACGTTGTTTAGTACCTGTGGAAAATTATTTCAGAAGGGGGAATTATAAATAAATAAATAAATAAATAAATAATTAAATAAATAAATAAATAATTTCAGAAGGGGGAACTATAAATAAATAAATAAATAAATTTATTTCAGAAGGGGGAATTAAAAACACATAAATAAATAAATAAATAAATAAATTTATTTCAGAAGGGGGAATTATAAATAAATAATAAATAAATAAATAAAAAATTATTTCAGAAGGGGGAAATAAATATAATATAAATAAATAATTTCAGAAGGGGGAATTAAAAATAAATAAATAAATAAATAAAATTATTTCAGAAGGGCAAATTAAAAATAAATAAATAAATAAATAAATAAAATTATTTCAGAAGGGCGAATTAAAAATAAATAAATAAATAAATAAATAAATAAATAAAATTATTTCAGAAGGGGGAAATAAAAATAAATAAATAAATAAATAAATAAATAAATAAATAAATAAATAAATGGTTTAAAAGGAAAAATCACCCCCAAAGGAATTTTGCTGTGTTCAAGGCACATCTTGAAATTACCACTAATTTCTTCTAAGGTCCTTTTCAGCCTGTGATGCTGTTGAACAAGTTCCTTGAGCCCGTCGGGGACGTCCCTGCAGAGCTCCTGAGCTCTCTCGTTTGCCTCCAGAGCCTGCTCGTGCCTCCCCAGCAGGGCCAGGGCCTTGCAGTAGTGGTGGTGACCCTACAGGGACAGGAGTTGGGATTTCAAGCTTTTTATTCACACAGGTAAGGCAAAAAAGAAAAAAAAAATTACACCAAAACCAGCTGCAGAAGACAAAACAAAGTGAAATTGTGTCTAACTGCTCTCAAAGGATGAATATTCAGTTTTCAGCTGGGAGCAGCTTGTAACCTCTGGCTTTGGGAAAGAGCAAATTTGCACTTTCCCCTGATCTCAACAGCTACTTTTCATCCCTTTTTTACTCTTCTTCAGGCCAAGAATATTGGGAAATACATTAATCAGGGTTTTTTTCATTGCAAGGGCTACATATATTCCTTTTAAATAGGTGATAACACAGCTGTACACGACAAAATAAACGTTTTCTTCTGCCTTTAAACAGGCAGAACACCTTGTAACAACACTTAAAAATGTTAATTTGACGTGCTTGTAATATAAATATACAAACTGTGTACTTGACTGACTGAGGCAGAATTCTTAGTCCTTAGTCCTGTCATTAGAAGACACCCCTGGGTTCTCATCTTGCTTTACAACACCAACAAAAGACAATTTTGAAACGAGATTTCACTTTTGGAAATATGGAACTGACCTTTGGCCAATCAGGCTTCAAAACAGTGGCTCTTTTCCCATCAACGACAGCTCTCCTTGGGGAAGGGAGGGGAAAAAGAAGAGGAATTTATTATTTGCAATTCAGAAAAATCTACAGGCTGGTGTCCAAGGCACTATAAAAATACCAAGGGAACAAAAGGGAATAAATCCATGGAATGGGTTGGGTTGGAAGGGACCTTAAAGATCACCCAGTTCCAACCTCTTGTCACGGGCAGGGACACCTTCCACTATCCCAGGCTGCTCCAACCTGGCCTTGGACACTTCCAGGGATGGGGCAGCTCTAGTGACAAATAACTACAGTCACATATAACTATAATCACATATAACTTTAATCATAGGGTCACAAATAACTCTATATGTCAGCTTTAAAAATACTCTTTTTCTTATTCAGGGTGCCTGTTTTGAAGTGCAGATCACCACATTTCAGATGACAAAGGGGTTACTTACTCGTAGTCTCCTGTGAGAATGAAACAAAGAGCTCTGTTTCCATACAGAAAGTGGTTTGTACGGCTTAAAAAAAATATATATTATGGAGAGTTAGTACCATATATTACTTTGGAAAATCCTAAGGAGGAAAAAAAAAAAAAAGAGTGGATTTTCACAACAATTGCCTGCAGGCTTCTCTAGCACCAACACACCCCAGCTTCCTCAAATCCCACGGATTTACAAGTTAAATCACTGAGGATGTTCATTTTAATTATGCAATAATTGGTAACATTTGGGCCCACTGATGCAACTTCCAAGCAATTCAAATTGTTCTCAGCTCATCCTTAAAAAAAACCAGCCCAGCTCTACAGCTCCTGGGAATGATGTGACTTCCTTTGCTCTTCACAAACCACAGGATTTCCTTTGCTCTCACACTCAATTCTGCTCCTCCCTCCCCCTTTCTCCAGCAAAGCCTTCTTGGTTTGCTCCCCCTGAGTCACTTGACACAAGTCAGCCTTACTCAACTCTGGAAAAAGGCTGAAATCAGCTGGAATTTGGGACCAAAATGTATTCCTGCCACGTGACATTTGCTCAGAGAATATCAGAAACTGTGTGACTTGGGTTGGGTTTAACTGCACACAAGTGGGTTTAGGTGGGCCCTGCTCAAACCTGAGTGCAGGTGAACTTTAAATTAATCAAATTAACTCTTTGTCAGCAAGAAAGGCTGAGCAGGGGAGGACACAGGAAGGCTGGATCCACTTTTCCCATGGGATAAGAGGGCTCAAGTAAAAGGGACCTTGAAGGCAACAGAGAGGGAGTGAGACCTTGGTATGGGTAAAACAGGGGGTAAAGATAAGTCAGGCTTGTCCCTGACTTACACAAAAGGGCCCCAAGGCTGGTCTGAGCCAGAAGTTAACACAGAGAAAGAACCCAAGAAGGGGTTAGAAGACTCCAGACCACAAAAAGACCCCAAACTGCAAAGGATTTTTTTGGTCTGAGCCCCTCCTGGAGGCCCCAAGCTCGAGCTGTTCCTGTACCACTCAACTGATAAATAATTATTCCCTGAAATCAGATGTCTGAGACTCTGCTGGGGGAAACCTCAGGCACAGAAATCTCCTTAAAAGACACAAAACCTGAAGCAAGACATCAGCAAAACGCTGATCCTTTCAACTGCACAATTACAAAGCTCCAGACTTGAACCTGAAAACTCCAAACAGTTTGAACAACCTGGTGGGATTTTATATTTCCCAGTATTTCACAGACACCAGGTGGTGTCAGAGCAGCATTGGCATGACTGTAATACAAGCAGTGAATACACCAACCCTGCTGACCACTGGAAGGGGGAAAATGCTCTATGAATGCTCAGATAAAAAAAATTCTCATTTGATCTTTTCCTCCCTTTTTCCAGAGCCCAGAAAAGTCTCCAAAGCCTTCCAGCAAATTCCTTTTGAGAAGAAATTAAAGAAGAGCTAAAAAAAAAATAAGCCTAAGAGTTGCCAGGAAAGGACACTTAAATATTTGTTCTTGTTTACTCTTTCTGCATCACGGCTGAGGTGATAAATATTTGCAACACTTGGTCACATTGTTCTGCTGGAAGACTATTTAGAGGGACAACACCCAAAGTGGTTGTTCACACCAAATAATTTATTTCCTTGCAGGTTTACTTGCTGTTAAGTCCCTTTAGATCAGCTTTAGACCCTAACAGGACTCCTGGAGCAATAAAAGCACAACCAAACAATAATAATGGGAAACAAAATAAAACAAGAAACGTGTCATGTAGTTGTTTTTTTTTTTCCAATTAGGAATCTTTTGGCCTCTAAGTAGAGTGGCTCATGCAAAACTATGAAAAATGAGCATAAATCTGAAAAAGCTGAATATATATAAAAAATTATATTACATACATATAAAACACAACCTAGTTAACCAGTTCAGTTCTTACCAAAGCTCTATGGCTCTAGTATATGAGATTATAGCAGGAACAAAGGCTCCACGGGAAAATACTTCATTTCCTCTCTGTTTCATAAATTCACTCTCCTGTGAAACCACAAAGAAACAAATTCAGAAACTGGGACTAAACTCAATTCAACAACGAGAAGTAAAGGTAATTATTTACCTCAGGACAGTGACACACTCAAACTTTTGAAGCTTTTCTCTTTAATCATTTGGGCATTTTTATAAGCCTTGATCATTAGAAGCCCCCCCCAAAACCAATTAAAAAAAGGACAAAACCCATTCTGAAAGCTTCTCTCACCTTCCTGGAGCTCTCACAGGTCTGAGCTTTCAATTCTTCAACTAAATCACAATCTTCCAATGCAACTTTAACAATGGAACGTTCCCCTGGTGACAAAATTCAGAGAAATACAGGGGGTGAAAAAGCTACCGAAGGCATGAAGGGTTTATCATCTGCCACTGAGAATCCCTGTAATAAATTGATTATTGAGCGAGCCCAAAATGAAATATATAAGGACATGAACTACTGCACAGTTACTAACATTAAATGACTTTCCTCATCACTGTTTCTTGGGGAGTTTTCAGACTTACACTGAGTAAAAACAGTGGCGAGTTTAAGCCGGCGAAAATCCCTGAGTTCCTCCAGGCCCTGCAGAACGTTGGCATCACCCACACACCTGATCCAATCCACTGCCTCCTCGATGTCAAAGAAACCCTATTTCAGTGGAGGGAAAAAAAAAAAAAAAAGAAGGAAAATAAAGAAGCAGAAAACAGCTCACAAATAACCTGGATACCTCAAGCACAGCGGAGTCACAAAACTCAACCAGTTGTTCTTTCCACAGGAGACAGGGGAGGCACTCAAATGTTAGCTTTTGATTCAGAAACTTCTTCTTGATGACTGAAATTCTTGAAAAACAACATAAAAGCCTTAGGATTTGATTTAGAGACTTCTTTCTGACGACTACTGAGAAATAAGATCGAAACCCACGCGACTTAAAAGACAAATGTCACCCAAATTACAGCAACTGGGTAACACAGAGTTGTATTTATTCTGTTTCTCCTGTTGTGAGATTGTCTTTTGTCTTTTATCTATACACTTTTTATATTTATATTTTTTATTTTTTTTGTATTTGTTTTATCGTTACATTCATGCTTTTAGTTTTTATTTTTATATTGTGTTTTTATTTCAGCTTTCGCAGCTCACGCACAGCAGGCAACAGACACCAGCAAGTGGGGAAAAAACTGGTGAAAACAGGGAAATTAAGAGAAATTCACAAAGTTTACAAGGTGAAAAATGTCAAAGTATAGTTCTGCTATGGATTGGATTGAGTGCAAACCACACTCTTCCTCTGCCATGCACAGATTGAACAGGTATCACTTAAAAACAACTGGAAAAACTCACATTTTCTATCCCATTGCCAATCCTCAAAATGCCACTGATAAAGTGCGGAATGTTCTGGAACAGGGAGAGAGAAAGCAAACAAAAATCAAGTTATTAAAGAGCTGAGCACTTCAGTTTTTCTGTCTGCTCAGGTTTATCTGAGTAACATTTTCTGTTCTGCCTCAATGCAGCATCACTGGGAGAGCTGCTGTGCTCCACTGCCAAAATTCAGGCAATATTCTTCTAATCAGGAGCAAATTTCTTGTGGAAAAATAAATGAATTTTACTGTTGGATATACAATGTTTTACATGGAGAAGGAGATAAAGGCTGAGGAAGGAAGAAGAGGGAAGCAGAGGTGCAGTAACACGGACTGGAAAAGTGGAGCTTGGGGTTGAGCTCAGACTTTCAAGAAATGAAAAAAAGAACTGTGTCATAACTGAATTTAAAAACCACAACAAATCTCTCCCCTTCAGCTGCTGAGAGCATTTCTTACACCCTTCTCTGCACTGTTACATTTGTGTTTTAAGTCAGCAATAACAGCAAATTCAAAATACCATTTGTTGAGCAAGAAAAAAATAAGTGAGGGGGAAAAAATAAAGTATTTAAGTCATTCATCCATCAATCACATTATTGACTGCAATTATTTCCTAGGTTATCCCAACTGTGATAAAGCCCAGGATGCTTTTTCTTTCTAGAAAGCTACAACTCAGCCATCACCCAATTTATTCACTCCAGCAAAAGGAAATGTCTCATTTCAGATATAATCCCAAGCTGCTTAAGGTACAGATTTAATTAACCTGTTCCACTTGAGAACTTACACCAAGTTAAAATACAGTACTTACAACAACTTTTTTAATTAAATCAGCAAGGTCTTCCACAAAATTACACTCAGACATTGTCTTCCACAGACGCCACCCCTGAAAGAGCAAACTGTTTAAAAACACAAGTTATTACTGAGAGAAGTAACACTGTGGTACATGGTCCTAATTGCTAACATTTAATTAACATCTTCTTAGCACATTAACAATTATTATTATATATATATAACATTATATATAAATATTATATTAATATAAAATTGGTTTTATATAAATATTATATTAATATAATATACAGATATTTTATCTATAAATATTATATTAATATAATGTGCAGATACTTATATATAAATATTATATTAATGCAATATACAGTTATTTTATATATTATATTAACATAATATGCAATAATCTTATCTATAAATATTATATTAATACAATATACAGTTATCTTATATATAAATATTATACTCATAATTAGGGTATTATAATAATTATAATAATTAAAAACTAGATCTAAGCAAAAGCAGGTTTACAAATTCAGATTTTTAAAACAGAGGAGGAGGGACAAATAAATAAATAAATAAATAAACAAACAAATAAAAGGAAAAGCTGCAAAGCTCTTGGTGCTTTTGAAATCTCAGGCATCTATTCATGCACTTAAACACACTCTTTAAATTCCAAACTCCACACACCTCTCCTTAATATTTTCTTCTGTGGCTTGAGGAACTTTTGGCCTTAACTAAGTTAAAGCCACTGTTAACAACAACATTCCTGCAGCCAGTTTAGGCACCACTGAAAACACACAAGGATCTTTCCCAGGGAACAAGAAAAAGGGGAGAAAAACCCCTTGGAAAACGTGGTTACTCACCCAAATTCCTCTTGGAAAGAAATGCTTTCCTGGGTGAAGAGAAGAGGCCAAAGCATCTGGATTTTAATCACGTTGCAATGTTCTCTTAATCTCTCCACAGGCTGATTGCACCAAACTTCACAGGGATTAACACCTCCAGGAAAGCAGGTGGGAATTGGAGCATCCAGGCATTGCAGGGGGAAGAAATAATTCAAAATTCCAAATTGTAACAAACATCCCCGTCAGTTATTTCCAGACTTTATTCCTAAGTCCAAACCAACCTGAACAAGGAGACCTGAACGCTCCAAACACACCTGGAAACTTGAGTTTTATCATAAATTAAAGGGGGAGAGGGAATTTATATGGAGGTAGGAAGAGGGACCTCATGGCAGGTTTTACATTCCTCGCTCAAGGAATTGCCTGGGTTCCAAATTGTACTGACAGAATTAGTTATAAATGAATAAATGCTTCTAAATAAGTGATGCTGTGAGTTTAGTGGCCCTAAGGAAATGCTCTTTTCCAGGTAAAACATGAGCCCCTTCTACCTGCACCCCTGGAATTGTTTTCTACAATAAACCCAGAGCTACAAAAATCAGCAATATTCTTTTTGGCCTCAGAGGCCTTTCAAAAACACAACCCACCTCCCTCAGAGTCTGCCTGGAAATTAAAAGGTAAATTAGACTATTGGGGTGGCACCCTGTGCTCTGAGGTAAATTAAAAGGTAAATCAGATTGTTGAGGTGGCATCAGGTGCTCTCAGAGCAAAACCAGCATCATGTGGGGGTCTGAATATATGGAAAAATTCATTTTACACAGCTGGCTGTGTCCCTGTGAGTCTCCTGCATATTCCAGGTTACCACTTGTGTGGTGAAAACAGTTTAGAAGAACTTCACACACTCTTGGAGCCACCTGCTTTTCTGCCACCTCTGAATTTTTTTGTTATAACTGCAAAAACTCACCTATAAAAAAAATCAACTTGAAATTGTCTTTGGACCTCTACAGCTAAAACACAGCTACAGTTAAAACACAGGTAATGAATTCTACTTATTTAAGCAAAATAAGGGAAAAAAAAATCAAAAAGGAACCAAAACCAGCACAAAAGTGCATTAAAAATTTAAGCAAATTGGTTTAGTTCACATACCTGTTTTAGGATTAGGCAGCACTGTCTGACCAAATGTTCCATGACCCTAAAGACAAACATACTTTTTAACATTGCACAGCCAAAAAAGCAAATAAAGCAAACCAAAACAAACAGGGAACAAAAAGCATGTTTGCTGGAGTTATTTAACACAATGGTGTAGAGGCTGTTTCATGAGATGAAAAATGTTTACCTACATATCCATTAAAAAAAAGTCCACAGATTACTGGTTATGAATGGGCAGGAAAACCTTTATTAATTTAAACAATATTTTAAATCACACTAGAACAGTATTCTAGAAATCAGTAAGTCAAAACCAGGTACTGGGCAGCAAAATAATGTTCAAGAATACCTGACTACACGTGTTTAAGAAGACAACACAGGTTTTCAAAAAGTAATAATTAAGTTTTGACAGTGTGTGTATATTTATATAAATTCATATACATCAAAATAAGTGGAATAGTTGATTTAGTGCTTCAGGGCAGCAGAATCTATTAGTACTTTAATGGGTTTAAACATATGAACCCCTTAAGCTGAAGAATAAATGACTTTGTTCTGTTTTACAGATCCCTACAAAGCCTCTTGTTTTAAGAAACTTTTACGTGTCATTTAAAAAAAACGGTTCTGAATTATAAAACCAACGTATTTGACAGGTCAGGACCCTCAGTAAGAAAGAGGAAAAAAAAAAAGATGAACTCTGGTTGCAACTCCACAGCTCCTTCCCTGCACAGAGGAAAAGCTGCCACATTTCAAAAGCAAACCAAACCACTTCCCCCACCCCCCCAGGGAGCTCCTGGGGGTGTTCCCACCAAGGCAAACTTGAAAACCAACATTTAGCACTTGCAGAGAACCCAGGGCTTTCATTCCACTGCTCAGCACACAAGATATTTAAGAGATAAAATGTCTCTTATCTTCTGCTGGCTCAACTCTTAAAAGCACTTGATTTTGGCAGCAGCACCCGCCCAAAACATCCTTTATTGATATAAACACATTCCAGTGGGAATCACTACTCTGGTGGGACCAGCTCCTTGTAAAGACACAGCTTTACAAAATAACAAATTCAATTTATCTATACTTTTTATGGGAAGAACATTAGGCCAGTTAACCTGCATTTCACAACAGCCACACAACTGATAAGTTAACTCCTAACTGAGCTCTCCAAGCAGCACAAACATTCCCAGGGGTTTCTGACTCTCCTGAAGAAGAGCACGAGAAGGGGAAAATAAAAGCCAAGGAAAGCACTCCTGGAAGTATTTAAGAAGAGTTTATTCAGAAAAGGCACAACTTATAACTTAGAGGGAGTCTTCACAGGAATTGTAGTGACAGGACAAAGGGGAATGGCTTCAAATTGACAGAGGGCAGGGTTAGATGGGATATTGGGAAGGAATTCTTGGCTGTGAGGGTGAGGAGGCCCTGTCCCAGGTTTCCCAGAGAAGCTGTGGCTGTCCCTGGATCCCTGGAAGTGTCCAAGGCCAGGTTGGACGGGGCTTGGAGCAACTTGGTCTAGTGGAAGATGTCCCTGCCCATGGCAAGGGGTGGCACTGGATGATCTCTGAGGTCCCTTCCAACCCAAATCATTCTGTGATTCTGTGATTAAATAAGTAAAAGCCTTACTGGGCATGAAGAAATAGATGCAATTGGAAGAGATGACAAGAACAAAGAAGGGGCCAACACTGCAGCCAGTGCAGAGTTAAAATCCCATGAACCAAGGGGTGATTGTTTTGCCAAGAAAGGAACTGAATCTGCCAGGAATCATCCCAGGGATGGTCTGGGTGCAGAGCCAACAGGTTGGGCAAGTTCTGCTGAGAGGATCTACACATCACTGCCTGCTGTGACAGCTGTGCACACACAGAGTCACCCCAACCTGCCTGACAGAGGACACAGAGACTCTGTTCTGCCCCAATTCAGTGCTTCTACAAATGAATAATGTACATGGTAGAAGTTACTTTTGCATCAGTTTCAATTAACCAACACTAGGAACTACTCTGTAGATCAGATCATGGAATCACAGAACGATTTGGGTTGGAAGGGACCTTAAAGATCATCCAGTTCTACCCCCTGCCATGGGCAGGGACACCTTCCACCAGCCCAGGTTGCTCCAAGCCCCGTCCAACCTGGCCTTGGACACTTCCAGGGATCCAGGGGCAGCCACAGCTTCTCTGGGCAACCTGGGCCAGTGCCAGATTTGGGTATAAACTCCACTGGAACATCCTGCAGGTTCTCCACGCAGCGTCAAAGCTACTCACCAGTTCTAAGTAAGATCTATCGACATGACACAGAGCCAGGGTTGCAAGGTCGGATGTGGACGAGGGATCAGCCATGGCACAGGACCCTGGAAGAGAAGGATGGTGAGAAACACGGGAGAGGAAAGTAAGAGGAAAATAACGCGTGCTTTGCAGCACTTAAAACGATCACAACAATTTACACTTTGCCGAGGTTTCACGGAAGAAACACATATCTTACGGAGCACAGGTTAATGTTGAAAACAGCCACCTAAAGCACCAGCTAAGAGCTGGTTATGTCAGGTAACTCTGTGTTCTACGCCTCCAGCAGGACCCCAGGGCACTGCCGCACCCCTGGCAGAGCGCAGGGTCAGGGAGCAGCATCCCCGGAATCGCCGCTGCATCCCGGGATGCCAAACACGCCGGGACAGCCCCCGCCCCGCCCCGGCCGTCATCGGACCCCGGAAAGCCCTCCGCTCGCCGCTGACGTGTCTCCTCCCGCCGGCACAGCCCTGCCCGGAGCTCCAAGAGAGAGGCAGCGACCCGGGAGAGGCTCCGCGGCGGCTCCCGGTGCCGCGCTGCGAACCTCGGGCGGGCCGGGGGCGGGCGGCACCGCGACGGGCAGCGAGTGCCGGGCGGGGCGGGGGGAGCACCCACCGCTCCCTCCATCCCCTGTATCGCTCCCTCCATTCCCGTATCCCTCCCTCCATCCCCTGTATCCCTCCCTCCATCCCCGTATCCCTGCCCGCAGCCCGCGCTCACCGCCCGCTCCGCTCCAGCCCGCGCGGCCCCGACGCCGCTCCCGACGCCGCCCTCCCCCCCCCCCTCCGCGCGGGCGCGCGCGCGTGCCCCGCCCCGCCCCGTCGGGCGCGCCGCCCATTGGCCCGCCGCGCCGATGACGTCACGGGCGCCGGCCAACCCGCGGGCCGCGCGCCTGCGCGCGCGTGGAGCCGCGGGAGGTGTGGGGGGGGGGGAGAAAGGAATGAGATGGGAGGGGATCCACCATCTTCATCCTTCATCCTCTTCCTCCTCTCTCTTCCTCTTTCTCCTGCCGTCCTGGGTGCCGTTTGCCTTCCCTAGACACCCTCCGGAGAGGGAGGAGGCACAGCCGGGCGCGGGGGAGCTGCGGGCGGGCGGTGCGTGCGAAGGAAGGAAGGAAGGAGGGAGGGAGGGAAGGAAGGAAGGAAGGAAGGGAGGGAGAAGGGAAGGAGAGAGGGAGTATCCCCTTCACCCGGAGCTCAGGAGGGAGTATCCCCTTCAGCCGGGGCTCAGGAGGGAGTATCCCCTTCACCCGGAGCTCAGGAGGGAGTATCCCCTTAATCCGGGGTTCTGGAGGGAGTATCCCCTTAATCCGGGGTTCTGGAGGGAGTATCCCCCCGGACCCGGGGGTGCGGGTACCTGGGCGCGCCCCCGCGTTCCCAGAGGAACTTCCCGGGAAACCTCTAAAACAGCTTCCTGACGCTGCTCTCCGCCCTCCCCGCCAAGGGAAAAGGGAAGACACCAGGATGGTTGAAAACTCGCCGGCCCCGCTGCCAGAAAGGGCGATATATGGATTTGCCCTTTTTCTAGGATCGTGGTTTGGCTTCAGTGAGTATCCCGGGAACTGATACACCCGAAAATACTGCTTTGCTCAGGAGGCAGACGTTATTCCCGACTGGCACAGGTTGCCCAGAGAAGCTGTGGCTGCCCCTGGATCCCTGGAAGTGTCCAAGGCCAGGTTGGATGGGGCTTGGAGCAACCTGGGCTGGTGGAAGGTGTCCCTGCCCATGGCAGGGGGTGGGAATGGATGAGCCTTAAGGTCCTTTCCAACCCAAAGCATTCCATGGTTCTATAAGACCACCTGAAAAGGATCAAACTTGTGTTCCAGCACCTGTTGGGAAGGTGATGGAGCACTAAGTGAGTGTTGCTTGCCAGACCTGTCAGGTCTGTCATTGATTTTCATGATTTCCTCATGTTTTGTCTGTCTTTAACCATATTACAGGATCTTTAATGGTATTAGAGAGTCAAATTATTTGAAAAATTCTCTGCATTCTCAGTATTTTTACTGGAATACTTTTTCACCATACAGTGACCACTGTAGATAGTAGTAGTGTTACCTTCCCCACTGAAATGAAATAAAATAAAAATAAATAAATAAATAAATACCGGGGAAAAATCAATTTGGTCAACAGCAATGGGAATTAATTTGGGTTATGCCAGCATTTCTCTACTGCTGTTCAGCATTTCACTGGGGACATGAGGTGCCAACACAGGCCCAGGGTTTGTGAGGCTGAGAACACCTTTTCAGCAAAAGAAAAGGTGCTGCAGATTGCTCTGGAGGCAAATAATGAAACATTAAATAATGCAGCACTGCTCCAAGTCTTTCTGACCCCGAGGCAGTAACTGGAAATGGAAGTGAGCTGGTTTCTGTTCCTCTCACAGGAAGCCCCCGTGGCTTATTTTTTTTTTGGCTCCTTGTCCTGCTCCCCTCGAGTTTTTTGTTGTTCTGGAGCAACATTTCTGGGTATTGGTTTTGCTGAGGTGAAAATGATGAACTTGCCAAGGATCAGAAAGTACCTTCAGTGATTTTTTTTCACAACAGTTCCATCCAGGCCCTGCAATTCCACCAGCTTTTTTTTTTCCAACTAAATGACCCACTGTGTGATCATTTTCTGCTTTTATTTTTATCTGCATTCAGATTCTTTTGGCCTCCTTTTACTGAGGTTTTGGATTTGTTAATTTTTTTTTTTTTTGTTCTGCAGTTTAACTCAGAATAAATTCTTGTCTGTCTCCACAGGAAATCAGAAATTAAATGTGAAAGCAAATATAAAAATGATCCCATATAACCAGCTGCAAAACATTGCCCCTTTACTGGGTGTGTTTGGTGTCTATATTTTATTTTACAGCATTTTAGTAGGGCTATTTTGGTTTAAAATGGTGTAAAAGTGAAACTTAGGAAGTCTAAAACAGCATCAGTCTTAACTATTATGGCTTTTTGATTCCCTTGTGCAGTTTTATATCTTATCTGGGCATATATTCCTGAGACTTGGCTGTTCTCCTTGGGATTGACATACTGGCCTCAAAAGTAAGTTCTTAACCTGAATACTTGTAACTGTGGGACACCCTTAATTATTTTAAAATTAAAAAGCTTTTTTTTTTTAAATAGCAGCCTTGTATTAAATCAGTTTTTCCCTCATGATAAAGGCCTGTGATCTTTGTAAAGCATTTTTTTTTTATGTAGATAATAGGCAATGAAATAAATAGTATTTGACTTTTTTAATGATAAATGTCTTGTTTTGCTCTCAGGAAATTTCCTGATGAAAATATAGTAAATTTGAGACCACAATTAAGAAATAAACACCTTCTGTAAGGAATCTATGTGGTGCTTTATACCAGAGTAGCTGCAGTGTCTTTGCAGTCAGTAATCTTGGGAGAGACGAAGGTCTGTATTCAGAGGTGTTATTTCTTTCCCTCCTGGCTCAGTTTGTGCTGGATGCAATAACAACCTGAAAACTGTTGCATCATTAGGCATTTGTTATCATGATATGTAAATTTTAAACTCTTTTTCCTCAGGTACTGGGCAGTTGCTTTGCCAGTGTACCTCCTGGTGGCTGTAGGAATTGGTTATATATTGCTTTTTGGGATTAACATGATGAGCACAGCTCCCCTGAACTCCACACACACCGTCACAGGTAATTTTATTGGGGTTTTATTTCAGATTTTGATGCTTAGCTGATAGTTTCTGTAAGTCTATATGTGTGGCCATATAGAATATAAACCAAATTTTAAGCCTTTAAATGTTTGAGTTCTTGGAAGTGATGAAGTGTTGGAGTGAAAATATGACCACGAGCCTGACTCTTCCCTCTTTGCCACCTCATGGCGACATTTTCCAACTGGAGGGGTGGAATTTGCTACTAAAACAGACCACAAAGAGCATATAAAGATCTCCCAGGAATTCACCTTGATGTACAAACCAGTGGAGAAGGTGGGAGCACCCACCTGGCACTGGCACAAGTGGGAAGATGATCCCAGGGCTGGAGCAGCTCTGCTGGGAGGAAAGGCTGGGAGAGCTGGGATTGTTCAGCCTGGAGAGGAGAAGCTTTGGGGTGACCTGATTGTGGCCTTGCAGGGCCTGAAGGAGCTCCAGGAAAGCTGGAGAGAGACTATTTCCAAGGGCTGGAGGGACAGGACAAGGGGAATGGCTTCAAACTGACAGGGTTAGATGGGATATTGGGAAGGAATTGTTGGCTGTGAGGGTGGGGAGGGGCTGGAATAGAATTCCCAGAGAAGCTGTGGCTGCCCCTGGATCCCTGGAAGTGTCCAAGGCCAGGTTGGACGGGGCTTGGAGCAACCTGGGATAGGGAAAAGTGTCCCTGCCCATGGCAGGGAGGTGGGACTGGATGATCTTTAAGGTCCTTTCCAACCCAAACCATTCCATGATTCACCTTGGATGGGGCTTGGAGCAACCTGGGCTGGTGGAAGGTGTTGGGGGTTGGACCTGGTTGATCTTTCAGGTCCCTTCCAGCCCAAACCATTTTGGAATTCTATAAAAGGAGGATCTGTGTCTTCCTCTGCACGAGGAATTCCACCACTATTTGCAGGTGGCCGTTTTTGGTAGGAAAAAAGGCAGTGAAATGTGGCAAGAAAATTCTTTATTGCCAAGAACTTTCAATGTTTGAACTGTGTACATGGAATTAGATTCCACTGGACTCCTAAGGAAAAAAAAAAATCAATCAAGGCTGGAATTCAAATGCACCTTAAACCAAGCAAAATCCCAGCCAGTGATTTCAGGAGTTTGGGGATGATTTCTTCAGGGACTCTGCTGATAAATGTTGATTTAAAGCACATTTGATGACCATCTCAGCAGGGAGGGGTTTCCTAAATAGCTAAATTTATACAGTGTTCCTTTTTATAGAGCATCTCTTGAAAGAAAAGAGTCTTGAAGACCTGAAACGTTCTCGTTGTCTTTTGTAGATAACTATGCAAGAAAGCAGCAGCAGAAGAAATTCCAAGAGGAAGCAATTCCAGCGTTGAGGGACATTCCCATCAGTGAAGTAAACAGAATGTTCTTCCTTCCTGAAAAAGGAATCTGCAATAGCAGATAGTCATTATTGAGGTTTGTTTGAACAAAGGATTAATGGAAGTGTTGCGTAAGGACAGTCAAAACCTCTCCAAGCTAAAAAAAAAATACTTTCAGCTTGTAGAACAAAGGGTTTATTTTTTTTAATCCCTAACTAAATTTATATTAACACCTGGTATTATTTGGATGTACCTACACAACCTGCCTCGGTGTGAGAGTTACACCACATTAATTTTTCAAGCCAGTCTTGGGAACTTAAAAGTGTTCTATTGTCATTTCCCTCTGAGAGGGAGAGAAATAGCTTTTTTTTGGCCATGGTTTAATTCTGTTTTCCTTTTGGACATAGTTTAATTCTATTTCCCTTTAAATTCAGGGAGAAAATACTTTTGCTGGTCAAATGTTGAGGATTTATTTTTATTAAGTTAATTGGGACTGTTCATGTTGTAAATATAAAGCTTTCCTCTGTAAATATTAATAAAGTGTAGCTCACTTTTACATGTTCAAATTCACCATTTTTCTGTGGTTCTGTATTATTTTTTCCTGGGTAAAGGTCCACTTTCCTTCACACAATTCTTTATTCAGCAAAATATGTTGATGCCCCACTCCCAAAAGTGACAGGATTATTGGATTACCAGGAATACCAGAAACAAGAAAGGTGAGTTGTGAAGATTTTCTGAAGCAAGTCTTGAAATTAACTTTTTTAAAGCATTTTTAAGAATACTGAACACTCGGTTCAAGGAAATATCTGGAAATACAGGAAAAGGCAGGTCCATCTTATTATAGCCCAAGGTTACAACACAAAGCACAATAAGTTGTTATTAGGGAAGTGGTTCAGATGTTTCTTAAACAGTGAATTTTTCCTGTATTTTTTCCTTTAGAGAGCCATAAACCCAGTTATTTTCAGGAGTCAGGGTTATTTAGATTGGTTAAAAAGACCAGAGGATAGACTATTATTGTTTATTAGGCTTTATAAGGTTTATAAGCCAACTTCAAAGCAGAGAGAATTTAGTTAAAAACTTCACTATTTCATTCAAAGATAAGAAACTTTTGAAAGTCTGTGTGAAAAAT